CGCCGCTTAAATCACTTTCTAATTGTTTAGTACTTAATTAAAGCCATAGGGAGGGTGTGGTGATCGCTAATTAGATTTTACCTGGTGAAGGTGAACAGGTTTCTCTTATTTTTATTCATCAAAGATAAAGTGGCAGCGTCTTCTGGTGGATAGTAGATAGAAAATTACTCGGAGAAAGGATTCATTTAAAAGAAAAATCTGTTTTCTGTACGAAATAATAATTTATTTGTATACCAGAAATTAACTATCGCTTTATAACGCCATACATGATGTGCATAAGGAAAATTCACCACCTGGTGGTGGTCAGACTAGGTAGTCATATGTTACACTTGCGTTGTTTATGTTTTTGTTACAAATATTGGTACGAAAACGTTAATTATAAAAAGAAAGAAGGAAAGAAGCCGAATTCAAGTTGTTTTTCAGTACAAGTTTATTTTCTTAATTTGAAAATTGTTAATCAGTTCTATAGTAACGATAAAGTAGCACAAATAACAAACGAATGCCGTTGGAACGAAAATAATCTGAAAACTGAAAAATAATATTGTAGAAAGTGAAAGAAAAATTTGTGGTAACAATTAAACGAAGATCACATTGTATTGTACCATAAATTACGAATATGTAAAAGTTCTGTTCTCTTTGGCGTAGCGAACAATCCACTACGTCGGTAGGTAAAGTTGTTGGGATTACAATCTGTGAGGTTTTGTAATAAGCTGTCATACTTCAAACCAGAGTGTCTACCTTTTCCCAAGGTCAACGTTCTGCTTGTAGTTGAAAGAACTGGAACGAGTACTACTGAGTTTTCATTATACATTTAGCTATAGAGCCTTGTTCTTTTTTTTTTTCTTCTTGGCCCAATATTGGAGAAATTGGGTCAACCAAAAAACAATCATGTAACAGTTTCTCTCGTGGAAAATTTTTACAGAGTTGTTTGAAATTTTCACACATTTTGGTAGCTACTTTTTATTAATTCAAAATACATTTTATAATTGAAAGTAACGATATACATAATCTAATCAAAAACACCTTAGGTGTGAAAACAATTCTTATCAATGTTATAAGTGTAGCTACCAGTTTGGCGCCAATTTTGATTTCAATCCTTTTTTGGACGCACCATTTTTTTCACATCCAAGAAGTCTTTGATTAGGTAAAATTATTTTTATCAAAGCACACCAACAAACCACAGCAGATATGAAAGTGACACTCGATTAGCAACCCACATTAGATTTAGGATCGCAACCCTATTATTCAGAACAGATCTTTACTTTACAGAACCAATCAGATTCTTTCAAAAATATGGTGGTACTTTTTCCTCTCTAAAACAGTGTTAATAGCTTCCTTTATAGTAACGCCATGGAATTTAGATTAACGGTTTCTTGTCATCACCCCATGCAATCGGTACAGCCGTATCAAGCATCATTATTTATGCTAATTGCTTGAGCTAATATCACGTGACGCTAAACGCTCTTTAATTAGGAGAATTTCATAAAATTTAGCAAATATGTGCTTAAAAGTTGGCAATGAATAATCAATAACCGTAAACTCGTATGATTCTTTTGAAAACGTGAGATAGAAATGTATAATCTAGCTTGCTTGGCCTAACCAATACTTATGTATCTGCACGTTCCTGCACCTTATAGTTTTGCTGCTCTAAATCAGTCGTCTTTAATCCGAATGACAAAAACGGTCCTCTCTTAAGTGAAGCTGTAGTAAAAATGTTAGACCGATAGCTCACAGATAGCCCATTATGTAGCTTTGTGCTTAATTACAAACAAACTAACAAATAATAAATTAGGAGCAGTGGCATAATATTATTCACACACCTAAGTTTACTTAGGTTACCATATAGTAAGTTAAAAAAGAACTCAAAAACTCCATCAATATTATGTACACATCCCCATTATAAGAAGCTTACCTGGGTTTCTTTGGTTTGCTGTGCTGATGATCCTTGAACGAGCGAAATTGCAGTCCACAGCAGAAGATTTGGCCAATCAAGGAATGCATTATGCATCTACGTCACAGACTCGCTTTTCAGTTATTGTTTTTTTGTTTTTTTTTAATTTCACGCAAAGCTACAATCTGCGCTAGCCGTTCCTAATTTAGCAGTGTAAGACTGGAGGGAAAGCAGCTAGTCATCGCCACCCACCGCCAACTCTTGGGCTACTCTTTTACCAACGAATAGTGGGATTGACCGTCGCTTTATAACGCCCCCCACGGCTGAAAGGGCGAGCATGTTTGGTGGGACGGGGATTCGAACCCGCGACCCTCTGATTGCGAGTCGAGCGCCCTAACCACCTGACCAGGCCGGGCCTGTCAGTTATTGAATATTCCTTTCGAGAAAAGAAAATAAGTCTGTAATATAATCGATAAACAGCTAGATTTAGAAAGTGGGCCTTAGATAAAGTTATAGTTACCCTTCACTCTATGCGAACTACTTGCTATAAGCATGGGTCGTATATTGCGTGAATTTTAGTGAAAAAGCAGAACATGCGTATACATAAGTTTCAACCATCACATTCTTAAATATTTTTGTGAAACAAAACTTTAGAAGGGAAAATTTTAACGTGTCTAAAAGTTTTTTATTTTGTTTCTGTGATTTGGAATTGCAGGTATCGTTGCAGTGTTAATCGGGGTCACTGTCGCTGTTGTAGACATCATTTATCCAAACAAGTTTTCCACCATCTTGGAGGTCGACTATGATACCCCCTATCGGTACTTTGTAGGCCAGGACAATACTGTTTTTACCAAAGTTGAAAACGCTTCATTTGAACTTCAGCCTACCGCTAAATCTGTAGATGCAGCTGTACCTGGGACAAGTAAGGAAGGGGTGGATAATGCAGCATACTTGAACGATGACAGTGATGTCAGTACGATTATCAATGGCAAACGAGCAGTTAGCCTGCATTCTTTCGGCAAATTTGCTCATAGAGAGGCTCTAAGGAAGGGACCGGTTTCGCCCATTAACCGGTAGGTTTTAATATTAACTTTTTTCTACCTTATTTGTTAGGAGAATCTTTATTTATTGTGAATTGAACACATTCATTTTATCGTAATGCCAACTTTTCTTTTGAAAAAAATCCCTTTTATTTGTAAATTGAAAAGTTCACTCAAATTTTAATGTTAACTTTGTTTGGGTGGGAAATCTCTACTTATTGTGAATTGAACACATTAACTTTATTCTAATGTCATCATGCTTATGAAAAAAATTCCCTTTTTATTGTGAATTGAACTCGTTCAGTTTAGAAGTTCACGTGAAAGTAGTGATACTTACTTGGATTCCAGTCACATTCTTTGAGAATTAACAATCGACCCCGTTTCGCTTGGAATTTGACTTTCCGAATTTTTCTTATTGCAGTTTTGAAAGATTAATTATTTTGTTGTTACACTGATAGCCTATCATTACTCTTGTTATCATTAAGTAAGAGCATCATGTTAGTCTGAAGATCTTATTTTGTTCTCCTTTTGTTACAGCAAAATTTCTGGTCATCGCTCGGGAGACGTGAATATTGATATCCAGGCGGCTGCCATGTGGTGAAACTTGCTTATTTTGTGCCATAAGGGTTAATTATTTAATACTCTTAAGGTTGGTGAACACGAACTCCCCCTCGGAATGAAAGAGTTAAGACATGCGTGAAAAAAATCCAACGTCAATTACGCACGTGTAAAGATTTTTTTTTGTACGTTTAAGTGTTATTATTTAAGTATGATGTAGCGGCAAATGTTGTAAAGTTTGTATGTTAACGTAATCTGTAATTATTTTTTTTATATTGAATAAAGTTGTGTATTTTTTTTTCTATATAAAAGCTGTCAGAAATTTGTAAAAATGTAATTTTAATGTGTGCACGTTGCTGACAAGAGGAGAAAAACCACCTAACGCCAAACGAATTCACTTAAGACGATATCTGAATGTTTAAAATTTTGGTTTTATGTAACGCTACGAAATAATGGCGTATAAAGCTCATAAAACAAAAATATTTTGTGAGAATCATTTCGAGCTAGATCAATCCGCCCGTATTCCAAATGTTTGAGAAATAATGTTGATAAAGAATTGTTTATGTTTATGTGCGGAGCAAGGCTCTTGTTGATGATGGGGCTAAGGTGGAGCAAATATAAAAAAAAATGAGGGGTTGAGACTACATCTTGTAAGCATACGTACTGTAGTGTTTAGTAAGTGAACCAATATTAACAGCAAACTTTGTTCATTATGTGCGGGGGCCTAAGGGGCGTATTTTGGGGGAGCTTTAGCCCCCCCTCCATACAGCCGCCCCCTTTTCTGTGAAAGGTGGCGAAGAATTGAAAACCAATATGCCTGTAGGTGTTTTTCTATCCCCCCCCCCCTCTTTCCACATGCCTTTTTCATTTGTCCGTATTGGATTTCAAATGAAGTGAAAAAAAAATAACATTTCATATCTACCTTAAGTCATTGATTTTTTGGTCACTGTCAGAACTCGGGAAAAGAAAATGTTAAATTACGATTTGTTTTTGCTCACAGATGTTTGATGTGTTTAACCGTGGTTTAGGTATGGATCTGTTAATTAAGCTTAAAATTTCGTACATCAAAGGTTGTGCGTAATTTAAGTGCTCGGCCTTTTGATCGTATGTAAGCTGTAAATATTAATTCTCAGAACTTTATGTTGTCACAAATGAAAGCTTTTAAAGTATTTAGATTTTACATAGCATTGTTACCGTTAGGCCTATATTCTGTCCTAACAAAGTTAATAATTTTAAAGTTTTTCATTTTATAAGGCATTGTTACAATTAGGCCTATATTCTGTCACAACAAAGTGAAGTATTTGATTTTTCATAGCATTGTTACCGTTAGGCCTATATTCTATCTCAACAAAATTAATAATTTTGAAGTTTTTGATTATTTTGGTTTTTATTTATAAACCATAGTTGGCAAGGTCACTGGATTAATATATTTTAAGAGTTTGTCATAAGGCAGCATAGTATTAGTCGTAAGAGATTGTTGAGAAATTAAATGCTTATGCGATGAAAACGTGTATGTAAATATGAATATTATTTTAATTAAGTGTTTTATGTATATTTAGAAAAGAGGTTGTGAATGTACAGTACGTGTCATAAGTGTCACGTGTCCAGTGGTTGGCTTACGAGACTATGAATCCTATGGTTCATGGTTCACATCCCGTTGTTCCTTAGGTGTGTTATAAGAGTCAATATAAAATCCCTCTATTCACTTATAATAACCTAAGCGTTGGTGGTGAGTGCTGTTGATTACCTGCCTTTCCTCTGGTCTAGCAGTTCAGAATATAGAACGGCTAGCGAAGATAACCTTTGTGTACTTTTGCATGAATATTTGCAACAATGGGCCTGATACAGAGGAGACATTCTCGCCAGGTTCTGTACCCGAAATACAACTACTGGATCAACATAACATTTCACCACAAGCCCAAAATAATTCAGTCTACCGTCCAATTACTGCACGTGAGGCGGCGTGTGTTACTATATCTGCACTTATGCAGTAGTCGCACTGAAATCTCTGTTGGGGCACTCAAAACTCTTGGGACACTTAGTAGTAAAAAGGTACGCAACCCCTGGTTCAGAGAGAAATGACCAATAAAAATGTTTGATAACGATTTGTTTTTTGTTTTTACATTTTTAGGGCAACAGTACGTCCTGCATAATTAATATGTCATACATAAAAAAAATTTCATCGCGTTAGTTGGATTATCTCGAAAGTTAAACTTTTTTTTCCCCATTATTACAGTGTAAATGAAACCTTGATTTAGCCTTAGCCTATTTTATAAATTTAACATACAAGATCGAAAGATATGCACAACATCCGGGTCGTCACGAGAAAGACTGCGCATTGTAAAGTACAGGTAGCACAACTATCTTTGTTGTTTAATACACATACAAGTACTTTAGTTCTGTGGTTGAACGCTTTGATTTCCAGATAACAGTCTAAACAAACCGTGTAATTATTTTGGCTGGTTCCTTAATTGAACGATGTTACTTATTCGGTAAGGTACCTATTTATAACTTAAAAGATCACAAGAAACTTATCACTTTATAACCTATCAAAATATATTTCACAAAAACATTCTTTTATGCAATGTAGGCCTATTCGAGTACAAAATTCAAATAAAACATTTTCCCACCGTATTTTCAATCGTTGAGTTTAGAAAATGTAATATTAGCAATCAACACATTGTTTTTGAGTTAATGCGGATTTATAAGATCTGTTCCGCGAGTGAGATTCTTAAAATCACCTTAGATGGGCTAAGTTTGATGGAGACGTTGTTGCATGATAAAGACTATTTATAAATATAAAATTAGATTTATAATATAAAATTTACACTATGTACTATCGCATCATCAACTATGTATTATCAAGAAGAGTAAGGATGACGTTGTAACGTCTAAACATGTAGAGTCGTCAACTTTTTGAAGGCCATAGATAG